GCCTGACCTGCCAGTTAAAATTCATGTTTAAATTACTCTGAATGGGCCTCTTTCACCTCCAGAGATTGCCCGAACCTGACAAACCTGTCCGAACCTGTTGAACCTGCCTGTACCTGCCCATATCTGCCCCGTACCTGTCTGCACCTACCCTTACCTGTCCATACCTATCCGTACCTGCCAGTCTGCTGACTAGAAGTCGTGGTTGAAGAGATCTAGCGGAGGCGGCAACAAGTGCACCTCCGCAGTCACCTCACAGCTTGCTCACTCCCTTGCACCTGTTTGTACCTGACCCCACCTATCAGTACCTGCCAGTCTGCCTTGTATGAATCTTGTGGTTCAAGAGATCTAGAAGCAGTTGCTCACCCACCTGAACCCCCTTGAACATGCGGGTACCTGGCCAACCTGCCCAAACCTACCCATACATGTTAGAACCTGGCCGCACCTGCCAGTCTGTCGTGTAGTAAAACTCATGGTTGAAGTGATCTAGCAGCGCGAGCAGCATATGCGCTTGGATCACCTACGTACTCGAATTCACGTTTCCCGAGACGCGTTTCAGAAACATCCAAGTCGCTGCTCGTGCTGCTGTCTCTGCTGCCGCTCCTGCTTTCGCTCCTGCTTTCACGTTCATCACTTTCGCATAGCACGGTCGGAGCTGAGACGATCAAGACGAATGGCGATCGTGAGGAGAAGAGCTCGGATCGACCGACGACTGCCACGTGGCATGAAGGTCGCGGTCGAACGTTCGTGGAACGACTCGATCGCGCCGCGCGAAGGGCGAAAGCAACCCATCGAGGCGCCGCTGTGCGGCGAGCTCATCCAAAGGCCCCGCGGCCAGTTCACGTCGTGAAACGTCTGGAAAAGCCAGTTGCGCTGTTCACGGAGCAAAAGCCACCACACGACCTAACTATGTGGCTACGTCTGACAACCACGGACACGATGCCACGATGATGAGCTCAAAGGTGCGTGATCGAGACCAAAAAAGCTTTCTAGTCAAGAACATTGCCGAGCTGTGATTGGCAAATTCTCCGTCAGATCCCCGAAAAAATTTGGACCATTTCTCGATTTGTGCGTGTCATCCTTGCGCAGGGGCCATGCTAATCTTCTCTGTATCGTTCCAATTTTAACGGATGTCCCGAAGGACGATTCACTAAGCGAAACAAAAATTCAAGAACCAAGCAGGTTTGCAAGAAAGTACAAAGTGGGCAGTTGTGATGCTTTGTGGGCGATTCGCGACAAGTTACGAATTTCCTTGCGTCCTGCTTGTGCAATGCTGGATTCAAATGCAGCGCCACAGCGCTTCAGGTAGATGACAGGACCTAGTCTCGTTTCGCCCACCTCCTTTCGTTATGGACTTACGGAAAGCATGAGCTACGTGTGCATTGGGCCAACGCGCCGCTGTTTCGATAGCATCTAGGCTGAGCGCCTCAAACCTAGGAAGTTAACCCTAACCATCAACAGCTAGTTATTTCCAACCTGCTGATATCTCGCTTCTCACGCTCCACCATGGCTTTACTAATTTCCGAATAAACTCGCGCCGTTCTTTCTCGCGTCGCGGTTTCATTCTCGTCCGGCACGATCGGCGGGCTGTGCATCGGGCTAGCCGTGCCGCTGCTTGCGGCGGCGGGACTGATGGATGTTCTAGGTATCGCCATTCACCCGCAGTTAACTCCGCCATTCGTGTACCAGAAAGTCGTGTGGGGGTGGCATCTGGTGCGTCGAGGCATTACCTCCCTACTTCGCCCATCTCCTCCTTGTTAGAGGGCCCTACGACAGCAAGGGCCCTCGACGACCGTTTGACTTGGCAGGTCGACTATGAAAGACCAAGACGAGCAGTCTAGCACCGACCCTATGATTTGGCGATGGTTGCGTAGTGACGCGATGTGACAACGGCAGCACTAAACAGTCATTGCTGGGGTGGTGTTAGTCTAGGGAAATCGTGGGCATGCTTCTTGGGTGGTCTTGGTGGTTGTGGGTGGTTCTCTGTGAGTCTCGCCATTTCTAGTTGTGCTGGGAGAATTGGCGAGCTCGGCATTGACTTCCCTGCTGAGTTGGGTTGGGAAGTTGACGAGGCGCGTTCGCTCACCCACACACCACTTTCGTGGGGTTGGGTTACTGCGCAGTGCCACGCCAACTTTGTGAAACCTTCCCGTAGCCTATATCTAGTTGTGTGTTTGCTTTTGTATTCATAGTTGATATTGCAATTCTACTTGGCCCAAAATGCTACTTCAATCCTCACTAATGTCAAACTTATATCTGCTATAGTCTGTTTAGGCTGTAGTGGGGTAGTTCCTAGAGGGTACAACACTTTTGTGTTCTCTACTTGTACCCATCTCGTTTCTAGTTCAATCATTCATTCCTCAATTCTCACATGGTATAGAGCTAGTTTCGATTTTTCCTAAGGGCCCACCACTGAAAATACTTTTTTTTTTCTTACCTGCCCGACGCGCGCGTCGCGCCTTGCCCTTCACGGCCCGTAGTGGCCCCCTTGAGGCCAGTAGCGCCCCCCCCCTTGAGGCCCGTAGCGGCCCCCTTGAGGCCCGTAGCGGCCCCCCTTGCGGCCCGTTAGGCCCCCTTGCGGCCCGTAGTGGCCCCTTGCGGCCCGTTAGGCCCCTTCGCGGCCCGTCGCGGCCCCCTTCGCGGCCCGTCGCGGCCCCTTCACGGCCCGTAGTGGCCCCCTTGAGGCCCGTAGCGGCCCCCTTGAGGCCCGTAGCGGCCCCCTTGCGGCCCGTTAGGCCCCCTTGCGGCCCGTAATGGCCCCTTCGCGGCCCGTTAGGTCCGTCGCGGCCCCCCTTTCGCGGCCCGTTAGGCCCGTCGCGGCCCCTTCGCGGCCCGCCCAGGCCCTTCCCCGGCCCCTTTCGCGGCCCGTTAGGCCCCGTCGCGGCTTGTCGCGGCCCCTTCGCGGCCCGTTAGGCCAGTTGCGGCCCCCTTCGCGGCCCGCCCCGGCCCTTCCCCGGCCCTGTCCCGGCCCCGTCCCGGCCCTTGCCCCGACCCTGTCGCGGCCCCGTCCCGGACCTGCCCCGACCCCGGCCCTGCCCCGACCCTGTCGCGGCCCCGTCCCGGACCTCCCCCGACCCTGGCCCTGCCCCGGCCCCGTCGTGGCCCCGTCCCGAACCTACCCCGACCCTGTCACGGCTCTGTCCCGGACCTGTCGCGGCCTCGCCCCGGCTCTGCCCCGGCCCTGCCCCGACTCAGCCCCTGCCCTGCTCCTGTGCTGTCGCGGCCCTGCCTCGGCCCGGCCCCGGATCTCTTGCGGCCCGGCCCCGGCCCTACCCCGGACCTGTCCCAGTCCTGCCCCGACCCTCCCCGGCCCTGCCCCGGCCTCGCCCCCTGGTAAGCGCACCGCCGAGCCGAGCCGCGCTGCCGAACCGCACTGCTCCACCGTGCCGTGCCGCCCTGTCGAGCCGCCCTGCCAAGCCGCGCTGGCCCTGCCTAGCCTGCTTAGCTGAGTTGCACTGCTGCTGCTGCTAGCCTACTGCTGCTGCTGTCATGGCTAGTCTCAGTGTCCTTACTTTTGATGCTGAGGGGTCGGGCAGTTGACTTTGAGGTCTGGCTAGATGATCTGCAGCTTTTCCTACAGTGCGATAGCAAGGACGGTCTCTCACTGTTCGATCTCACGTCTGGCGCCTCTACTGCCCCTGCTGCTGATGCTGACAGTACTGTTCGCTCGCAGTGGACCACCGCGCGATGCTGCTGCCCGCCTTGCTGTGCGTAGTCACCTACCGTCTACTGAGCGCGCGCACTTTAGTCAGTACAAGAGTGCTAAGACTTCTGTACGACGCTGTAGTTGCACGCTACAGCTCCCCTGCCACTGCTGCCCTCAGCCGCCTCATGCTGCCGTACCTTTTTTCCTGACCTTGCCGCCTTTGCACAGTTGCTGACCTGGTTGCTCACCTTCGCACCAGTGACGCCCGCTACCGCGCTGCCCTTCCCACTGCGTTCCTTCCCACGAACTCCCCCCCCATGTACATCACCCTTTACTACCTAGTCACCCGCCTCCCTGACTCTCTCTCTTCAGTCAGGGACCACTTTCTCTCCCTATGCCCCACCGAGCTGACTGTCGACTTGCTAGAGGAGCGCCTTGCTGCAGCTGAGAAGAGTATCTTAGCTGTCGGTGCTTCTCGCGGCGACCGTCGCACCCCCTTCTTTGAGGGGTGTTCCCCTGTCCCCCTTCTCCCCTCTGTTGCCTCTGCTGCTGCTGTCGACCTCGTTGGCACTGAGGAGGTCGGCGCTGCGTCTGCCTCTAGTGGGCGACGCCGCACCGGCAAGGGCAAGGGAAGCAGGGGTGGTGGAGGGGGCGGTGGGGGGAAGCGGTGGAGGCGGTGGAGGAGGTGGAGGTGGTGGTGGGGGTGGTACAGGGAGTGGGGGAGTCGGTGGCGGCAGTGGAGGCCGTGGCGGCGGTGGCGGAGGGGGTGGAGGCGGCGGCAGCGGTGGTGGAGGTAGCGGAGGAGGTGGTGCTGGTCGCGGTGCAGCCACGCAGCGTGGAGGCCTTGGTGGCAGCCAGCGCCAGCAGCAGCAGCGCACCCGTGAGACCCCGTCGGTTCAGCAGCTTCGTGAGTGGTACGCTGGGCGTGGGAGGTCTGGGGGTGCGGGTCCCTGCTCTTACGTTCTTCGCACCGGCACTCGGAGTGGGGAGGTGTGTGGTCTCCCACACACCACGCAGCGCTGCTTCGGCCGCTTGACTGACGCTTGGCGTGCCCAGTTTCCTGACGCCGTTAAGCTTCCTCGTTGGCATGATCTGCTTCTGCAGAATGTGCCTATCTTTGATCTAGACTTTGATGCTATCCTTGCTGCCATGTATGCTTTTGCTGATATTACTGAGGGTGACTGTTACCTGCGTGTCCCCGCCCGACCCGGGCACTGTGGCTGCTGCTCTAGGTTAGTGCGGCTGCTGCTCTAGGTGCTAGTGCGTCTGCTGCTCCAGGTGCTGGTACGTCTCCTCTCTCTGGTACTGCACCTACTGAGTCCCTTCACACTTTCACACTTGACTCTGGTGCTTCGCGCTCTTTCTTTAGAGACAGCACCACGCTCACGCCGCTCAGTCGGCCTGTTGCGGTCTCCCTTGCTGACCCCTCCGGGGGCCCGGTCCTTGCACACTCCTCCACGGTTCTACCGTGTCCTGCGGCCCCGTCGGGCTTGCTGTCGGGACTCCACCTCCCCTCGTTCTCTACGAACTTGGTGAGTGGAGCTGACCTCCAGGACGCGTGGGTTGACCAGTTCACCCCTGGAGGTCAGCGTGTGACCCACTGCACTTGCTCTCGGACGGGCCGCCACCTGGCCACGTTCACCCGTCGGCCAGGGTCGAGTCTGTACACACTGACTACTGCGCCTCCTCCGGTCCCTGCGTCTGGTCAGGTAGCTGCGTCCAGTCAGGTGTTTGCTGCCGCGTCCAGGTCTAGTCCTGCGTCTGCCCCCTGCTCGTGTCGTCCTCTGGCGCACGAGACTCTCCTTTGGCACCACCGCCTTGGTCACCCCTCCCTGCCTCGTCTTCGAGGTATGGCCTCCCGTGCTCTTGTCTCTGGACTCCCCAGGTCCCTCCCTCCCCTTCCTCCGGGGCCTGCCCCCACCTGTGTTCCTTGTGTCGAGGGCCGGCAGCGCGCCGCTCCTCACTCCTCGTTTCCTCCGACTGAGGCCCCTCTGCAGACTCTTCACATGGACGTGTGGGGCCCAGCCCGTGTCCGTGGACAGGGTCACGAGCGTTACTTCCTACTGGTCGTTGACGACTACTCGCGTTACACCACAGTCTTCCCCTTACGCAGCAAGGGTGAGGTCACTGAGGTGTTGATCGACTGGATCCGCGGTGCTCGTCGCCAGCTTAGTGAGAGTTTCGGCTCAGACCTTCCTGTTCTGCGTCTGCACTCAGACAGAGGCGGGGAGTTTTCCTCCGACCTCCTGAGAGCCTTTTGTCGTTTTGAGGGCATCCGCCAGACGTTCACGCTTCTGGCCTCCCCGCAGCAAAATGTGATTGCTGAGCGCCGCATTGGCATGGTCATGGACGTCGCTCGTACGTCCATGATCCATGCGGCTGCTCCCCATTTTCTGTGGCCGTTCGCGGTTCAGTACGCTGCGCATCAGATCAACCTTCAGCCTCGTGTCTCCTTGCCGGAGACCACACCTACACTGAGGTGGACGGGGAAGGTTGGCGATGCGTCAGCGTTCCGAGTCTGGGGATCTCGAGCTTTTGTCCGCGATACTACAGCGGACAAGCTGTCCTCCCGTGCCGTTCCCTGTGTCTTCCTTGGCTTCCCTCCTGACGCACCAGGGTGGCAGTTCTACCACCCCACCTCGCGTCGTGTTCTGTCCTCTCAGGACGTCACGTTCGACGAGTCGGTGTCGTACTACCGTCTCTTTCCCCTACCGCACTGCCTCTCCCCCCCCCCCCGCCACTCTTCCTGGCACCAGGTACTCCCCTGGTAGACCCCCTCCCCCCCCAGGGTCCTGCCCCCTCAGGTGTGTCCCAGGTAGACCCTGCCGAGCCGGTCGAGGTAGCTGTCGACTCAGGTGCTGCTAGGGGTGCTGACCCTGCGGGTGCGGGGACTGGGGGTGCTGAGACTGGGGGTGCTGAGTCTGGGGGTGCTGAGACTGGGGGTGCTGAGTCTGGGGGTGCTGAGACTGGGGTGTGCTGAGCCTGGGGGTGTGGCGCCTGAGGGTACTGAGTCTGGAGGTACTCTAGGTGTCCCGTCGCGGCGGGAGCCCCTCTCTCCACAGCGGCTTCGTGAGTGGTACTCTCGGCGCTGTCGAGTTGCTGCTGGTGCTGCTGGAGCTGCTGGAGGTGCTACTGGTGCTGGCGCTGCTGGAGGTGGTGCTGGTGCTGGAGCTGCTGGAGGTGCTGGAGGTGCTACTGGAGCTACTGGAGGTGCTGGCGCTGCTGGAGGTGGTGCTGGTGCTGGAGCTGCTGGAGGTGCTGCTGGTGCTGGTGCTGCTGGTGCTGGAGCTGCTGGAGGTGCTGGAGGTGCTACTGGGGCTACTGGAGGTACTGGCGCTGCTGGAGGTGGTGCTGGTGCTGGAGCTGCTGGAGGTGCTGCTGGGACTGGAGACCCTGGGGCTGAGGGTACCGGTTCTTGTCTCTGCTGTTTCTGGAGGCGCTGCGCGGCCGCGGCCGTACTACGTTCCGCTCCTTCAGCAGGTTCTTGGCTCTCCGCCTTCTCCTGTTCCTCCTCCTCCTTTCCTGAGTCCACCGCTTGTCCAGTCCCAGTCGCAGTTTCAGCCGGCCTCTCCGCTGCCTGGTCCTTCTCCTTACTATGGACCGACTAGAGGTCTTACGGAGCGTCGTGAGCCTGACTCGCGTCCTGTGTCACCTGTGCCTCGCTCTGCGTCGCCTGTCCGACCTGTTCGCACTAGTCGTGTTTCGCGTCCGCGTCCTCCTCCTGTCCCTGGCACTCACTCTATGACTCTGCGTCCTTCTACTGCTCCACAGCGTGTCCCTCTGCCGTCTCCTCCTGCGTCCTCTCTTCCTGACGGTCCGGACCCGGAGTCTGACTCCCTTCGTGCTGCTAGTCCTACTGTCACGCGCTTTCTGGCCACTGCTGTCACTGACCCTCTGTTTGAGTCCACTGCTGCGTCTGCTCTTGTTACTGAGCTCGTTGACTTTGCTGCTGCCTGTCGCCTAGACTACGCCGCTAGTCTTGTTGCTGAGTCTGCGTCTGTCTGTCCTCCGTCCGTCGGGGGTGAGTGTGCTCTTGGCACGGACGTCCTTGAGGACAGACACGAGGACCTTGAGTGCTTTGCAGCTGCTTCACCTCATCTCGTGTCCATGCTGCTTGCCCCTGAGGGAGACCCAGATCCACTAGACATCCCGACCCCGCGCTCTTACGCAGAGGCGATAGAGGGTCCCTACTCCTCTCAGTGGCAGGCAGCCATGGACGCAGAGATGGCTTCCTGGAAGTCCACAGGCACCTACGTAGACGAGGTTCCCCCACCTGGGGCGAACATCGTCAGTGGCATGTGGATCTTCAGGGTGAAGCGGCCGCCGGGTTCTCCGCCTGCCTTCAAGGCGCGTTACGTTGCACGTGGCTTCAGTCAGCGTCAGGGAGTTGACTTCTTTCAGACCTTCTCCCCTACCCCGAAGATGACCACTCTTCGGGTACTGCTGCACGTTGCTGCTCAGCGTGACTACGAGCTCCACTCGCTTGACTTCAGCACAGCCTTCCTACAGGGCAGCCTCCACGAGGAGATCTGGCTGCGCCGCCCACCTGGCTTCACTGGGTCGTTTCCTGCTGGTACCCAGTGGAGCCTCCGGCGGCCAGTCTACTGGTCTCCGCCAGGCACCCCGTGAGTGGCACGACACACTCAGGACGACTCTTGCTGCTCTTGGTTTTGCTCCTTCCACTGCTGACCCTTCTCTGTTCTTACGCACTGACACTACTCTGCCGCCGTTCTACGTTCTCGTGTACGTAGACGACTTGGTCTTTGCTACTGCTGACACTGAGGCACTCGCCCACGTGAAGTCTGAGCTGCAGAAGAGACACACGTGCACACACCTGGGTGAGCTGACAAGCTATCTTGGCTTGCGGATCACCCGGGACAGAGCACAGCGCACCATTACCTTGACTCAGTCACACATGGTGCACCAGGTCCTTCAGCGCTTCGGCTTTACATACTCCTCGCCACAGTCCACTCCTCTGCCTACCGGTCACTCGCTCTCAGCTCCACCTTCGGACGAGTCCGTAGAGCCGAGTGGCCCGTATCCAGAGCTTGTGGGCTGCCTCATGTACCTGATGACTTGCACACGACCTGACCTCGCAAACCCTCTCAGCCTTCTGGCTCGCTACGTGGCTCCCGGCAGACACCGAAAGGTGCACTGGGATGCTGCGAAAAGGGTGTTGCGATACTTGTGCAGTACATCGGGCATGGGGCTCGTGCTTGGAGGACGGGCTCGAGTTGTCCTCACTGGTCACGCTGACGCCTCCTGGGTTGACGACTTGGCTACGCAGCGGTCGTCACAGGGTTACACCTTCAGCCTTGGCTCCGGTTCTGTCTCTTGGCGGTCTACCCGCTCTTCTTCTGTTCTCAGCTCCAGTTGTGAGGCTGAGATCTACGCTGGGGCCATGGCTGCACAGGAGCTTCGCTGGCTCACCTACCTGCTCACCGACTTGGGAGAGGCGCCTGGTTCTCCTCCAGTTCTGTACGTCGACAACAAGGCCATGTTGGCCTTGTGTCAGGAGCACAGACTGGAGCACAGAACGAAGCACATTGCTCTGCGCTACTTCCTTGCTCGAGAGTTGCAGCAGCGTGGCCAGCTTCGTCTTGCTTACGTGGCCTCACAGGCCAACACTGCAGATGTTTTCACCAAGGCACTTCAGCCTTGTGATCATCAGCGTTTCTGTACTGTTCTAGGCCTTGTACCTACTGTACCTCACTTGCTGACTTCTTGACTCTGCTTGTACTGTACTCTATATACTTATACCTGCATGCTTACGCTTGCTAGGTTGTGTTCACTGTATTGTTTGCTTTCCTTTATATAACTCTGCATGTGAACTGGCCTTGTGGCCCTTTGCTTGTGCTCAGACTGCGTGGTGACTTTGTGATCCACCTTGAGCTTGCTTTGTCTTTCTTGACTGGTCTTGTGACCTCTTGTTCTCCCCCACTTTGCCTATGGGGGTGTGTCAAACTTATATCTGCTATAGTCTGTTTAGGCTGTAGTGGGGTAGTTCCTGGAGTTGGTGCTGACGCTGCAGATGCTGGTGCTGTCCCTGCTGGTTCTGGAGGCGCTACGCGGCCGCGGCCGTACTTCGTTCCGCTCCTTGAGCAGGTTCTTGGTCTTCCGCCTTCTTCTGGTCCTGCTCCTTCCTTAGAGTGTCCACTGCCTGTCCAGTCCGAGTCACAGTTACAGCTGGCCTCCCCACTGCCTGCTCCTTCTCCCTACGCTGGTCCTACTGGAGGTCTTGCTGAGCGTCGTGAGCCTGAGTCGCGTCCTGCGTCGCCTGTTCGTACTGCTCGCACTAGTCGTCGTGCTCCACGTCAGCGTCCTCCTGCGATCCCGGGCACGCATCAGATGGCACTGCGTCCTTCCACTGCGCCGCAGCGTGTCCCTTTGCCGTCTCCTCCAGAGTCCTCTCTTCCTGCTCTTGCTGACCCAGAGTCTGACTCCCTTCGTGCTGCCAGTCCTACTGTCACGCGTTTCCTAGCCACTGTTGTCACTGACCCTTCCTTTGAGTCCACTGCTGCGTCTGCCTTAGTTGCCGAGCTTGTCGACTTCGCTGCTCACTGTCGTCTAGACTACGCCGCTAGTCTTGTTGCTGAGTCTGAGTCTGTCTGTCCTCCGTCCGTCGGGGGTGAGTGTGCTCTTAGCACGGACGTCCTTGAGGACAGGCAGGAGGAGTTCCAGTGTTTTGCTACTGCTTGACCTCATCTCGTGTCCATGCTGCTTGCCCCTGAGGGAGACCCGGATGCACCAGACATCCCGACCCCGCGCTCTTACGCAGAGGCGATAGAGGGTCCTTACTCCTCTCAGTGGCAGTCAGCCATGGACGGAAGTCCACAGGCACCTACGTCGACGAGGTTCCCCCACCTGGGGCGAACATCGTCAGTGGCATGTGGATTTTCAGGGTAAAGCGGCCGCCGGGTTCTCCGCCTGTCTTCAAGGCGCGTTACGTGGCTCGAGGCTTCAGTCAGCGGCAGGGAGTTGACTACTTTCAGACCTTCTCCCCGACCCCAAAGATGACCACTCTTCGGGTTCTGCTGCACGTCGCTGCTCAGCGTGACTACGAGCTTCACTCTCTTGACTTCAGCACTGCTTTCCTACAGGGCAGCCTGCACGAGGAGATCTGGCTGCGCCGCCCACCTGGCTTCACTCGGTCGTTTCCTCTTGGTACCCAGTGGAGCCTCCGGCGGCCAGTCTACGGTCTCCGCCAGGCGCCCCGTGAGTGGCACGACACACTGAGGACTACTCTTGCGGCTCTTGGGTTTGCTCCTTCTACCGCTGACCCGTCGCTGTTTCTTCGCACCGACACTTTGCTGCCGCCGTTCTACATCCTCGTGTACGTCGACGACTTGGTGTTTGCTACGGCTGACACTGCTGGACTCGCCCACGTGAAGTCCGAGCTGCAGAAGAGACACACGTGCACAGACCTGGGTGAACTGCGCAGCTATCTTGGCTTGCAGATCACCCGGGACAGAGCACGGCGCACCATTACCCTGACTCAGTCACACATGGTGCAGCAGGTCCTTCAGCGCTTCGACTTCACGTACTCAGGCCACTCCTCTGTCTACTCGCCACTCGCTCTCAGCTCTGCCTTCGGATGAGTCCGTAGAGCCGAGTGCCCGTACCCAGAGCTTGTTGGCTGCCTCATGTACCTGATGACCTGCACTCGACCTGACCTGGCATACCCTCTTAGCATCTTGGCACACTATGTTGCTCCTGGCAGACACCGACCAGAGCACATGGCGGCCACGAAGAGGGTGTTGCGCTACTAGTGCAGTACGTCGGGCATGGGGCTCGTGCTTGGAGGGCGGAGTCCAGTGGTCCTCACTGGTCACGCAGACGCGTCTTGGGTTGAAGACCTGGCTACTCAGCGGTCGTCACAGGGTTACACCTTCAGCCTTGGTTCCGGTTCTGTTTCGTGGCGGTCTACCCGCTCGTCTTCTGTTCTCAGCTCCAGCTGTGAGGCTGAGATCTACGCAGGGGCCATGGCTGCACAGGAGTTACGCTGGCTCACCTACCTGCTGACTGACCTGGGAGAGCCGCCTCGTTCTCCTCCTGTTCTGTACGTAGACAACAAGGCCATGCTGGCCTTGTGTCGGGAGCACAGACTGGAGCACAGAACGAAGCACATTGCTCTTCGCTACTTCCTTGCTCGTGAGCTGCAGCAGCGTGGTCAGCTACGCCTTGCTTACGTGGCCTCTCAGGCCAACACTGCCTGATATCTTCACCAAGGCACTTCAGCCTTGTGATCATCAGCACTTCTGTACTATGCTAGGTCTTGTGCCTACTTGGCCCCACTTGCTTACCTCTTGACTTTACTTGTACTGTGATCTATATATATACCTGTACATGCTTGTTTACCTTGTATATATAATCCTGCATGTGAACTGGCTTGTGGCCTTTGAACCTGTGCTCGGAATGTGTGGTGACGTTGTGATCCACCCTGAGCTTGCTTTGCTTGACTGGTCTTGTGACCCCTTGTTCTCCCCCACTTTGCCTATGGGGGTGTGTCAAAGATTAATCACATAGCATGTGTAGGCTGTAGTGGGGTAGACACTATGGGGTACAGTTTCCTAGGGTTTCATATTTGTACCCAACTCATTTTCCTAGTCAACCATTCTCATTTTTTCACACTTCACACTTCAGTAGACTCTCCACAAAGTCCTTAATCAGCTCTGATACCACTTGTTAGAGACTAAGGATGGAGTCAATGAAGATTAGGGGCTGAAATATCTCAAAATCGTCAACTACAATTCTGGACAGAAAAGTCGTCGTCACAAGAAATGCCGTCGACGATTAACGCACATTTAGAATTCTTTTAAACTCGAGTATGTTGTAGCCCTTGACCGTGGCTATCTTTCCCAATGTGAATAGTATCAAAATATGGAGTATAACTCGAGTTATGAACTTCGGCGCACTAGGGGGTATGCTGCCATAGAAAACGTAACTCAATCACAATTATCTCACAAGTTCACACAAGAAAGTTGGAGTAGCAATTGAACCAGGTAGGAGAGGATGAGGAGGACGAGAGAGAAGGTCCCAAGGGAGTCCCCAACCAAGGAAACCCCATACCACACATTTCCCCTCTCTATAGGCACCCCAACTTTGAAATTTGTCACTTTCCCAACTCATGCCATCCACCTCACCCAACTTGGCCACAATTGCCAACCTGGTTTGGCTTCTCCCAACCACTTGGCATCATCTACAGTGATGGTGACGAATTTCCCAACCCCCTAAAAGTCTGTACCCCATATTGAGTCAACCAGCAAATTCCCATAGTCGCCGCATCTCAATCAAAACTTCGAACGATCATATCTTTCTCGTTCTTGCTCCGATCGCGGCGATTCTTGGTTCGTCGGAAAGCTCTCAAGCAGAGGAGTCACTTCAGATATCTGCTCAAGGCAAATAACACTCACACACACTCAGAAAATCCAAACAACACCAAACACAAATTCTTGCACACGCTCACACCACGCATGCAACACACGAACATATGATGGGAGGCAGACAGACGTGAATGCAAATGATAGCATCACATAACACCCCCCAGGACAACGAGCATGTAACCCCTCCCTAGGATCAATCGGGGATCTTCAGTGGACCTCTGACAAAGGTTACACAAATATACTACA